ATTTCAAGATTTTAGCTTTCCAAAATCCTGAATTCAACATTTTGGCCGATTTTATGATTTTAGCTTTCCAAAATCCTGAATTCAAGATTTTTGCCGATTTCAAGATTTTAGCTTTCCAAAATCCTGAATTCAAGATCTTGGCTGATTTCAAGATTTTAGCTTTCCAAAATCCTGAATTTGAGTTTTTTGCCGATTTCAAGATTTTAGCTTTCCAAAATCCTGAATTCAAGATCTTGGTCGATTTGAAAATTTTAGGTTTCCAAGATCCTGAATTCAAGATTTTGGACGATTTCAAGACTTTAGCTTTCCTAAATCCTGAAAGCAAGATCTTGGCTGATCTCAAGATTTTAGCTTTCCTAAATCCTGAATTCGAGGTTTTGGCCAATTTAAAGATTTTACCTTTCCAAAATCCTGAGCTCAAGATCGTGGCTGATTTCAAGATTTTAGCGTTCCAAAATCTTGAATTCAAGTTCTTGGCTGATTTCAAGATTTTAGCTTTGCAAAATCCTGAATTCAAGATTTTGGCCGATTTCAAGATTTTAGCCTTCCTAAATCGTGAATTCAAGCTTTAAGCCAATTTAAAGATTTTAGCTTCCCAAAATTTTGAATTCAAGATTTTGGCCAATTTTAAGATTGTAGCTTTCCAAAATCCTTAGTTCAAGATCTTGGCGGATTTTAAGATTTTAGCTTTCCAAAATCTTGAGGTCAAGATTTTGTCCCATTTGAAGATTTTAGATTTTTAAAATCCTGACTTCAAGATTTTGAATGATTTCATGATATTAGCTTTCCAAGATCCTGAATTCAATATTCTCGCCGATTTCAAGATTTTAGCATTCAGAAATGTTGAATTCAAGATTTTGTCCAATTTCAAGATTTTACCTGTCCAACATCCTGAATTCAAGACCTTGGGCGATTTGAAAATCTTAGCTTTCTAAGATCCTGAATTGAAGAGTTTGGCCGATTTCAAATTTTTAGCTTTCCTAAATCCTGAAAGCAAGATTTTGGCCGATTTCAAGATTTTAGCTTTCGAAAATACTGAATTCAAGGTCTTCGCAGATTTCTAAATTTTACTTTTCCAGAATCCTTAATTCAAGATTTTGGGCGATATCAAGATTTTAGCTTTTCAAAATTCTGATTTCAATTATTTTGGCCTATTTCATGATCTTAGCTTTCCAAGATACTAAGTTCAAGATTTTGGCCGATTTTAAGATTTTAGCTTTCCATAATCCTGAATTCAAGGTCTTGGCTGATTTCAAGGTTTTAGCTTTCAAAAATCCTGAATTCAAGATCTTCGCGGATTTCAAAATTTTACTTTTCCAGAATCCTGAATTCAAGATTTTGGGCGATATCAAGATTTTAGCTTTTCAAAATTCTGATTTCAATATTTTGGCCTATTTCATGATTTTAGCTTTCCAAGATACTAAGTTCAAGATTTTGGCCGATTTCAAGAATTTAGCTTTCCAAAACCCTGAATTCAAGATCTTGGCTGATTTCAAGATTTTAGGTTTCCAAAATCCTGAATTCAAGAGCCTCGCTGATTTCAAGATTTTGGCCGATTTCTAGATTTTAACCTTTCAAAATCCTGAATTCAAGATTTTGGTCGATTTCAAGATTTTAGCTGACCATAATCCTGAATTCAAGATCTTGGCTGATTTCAAGATTATAGCTTTTCAAAATCCTGAATTCAAGGTTTTGTCCGATTTCAAGATTTTAGCTTTCCAAAATAATGAATTCAAGATTTTGGCCGTTTTCAAGATTTTAGCTTTCCAAGATCGTAAGTTCAAGATTTTGGCCGAGTTAAAGATTTTAGCCTTCCAAAATCCTGAATACCAGACTTTGGTCGATGTCAAGATTTTAGTGGTCAAAAATCCTGAATTCAAGATTTTGGCCAATTTCAAGATTTTATCTTTCCAAAATCCTGAATTTAAGATATTGACCGATTTCAAAATTGTAGCTTTCCAAAATCCTTAATTCAAGATCTTGGCTGATTTCAGGATTTTAGCTTTCCAAACTCCTGGATTCAAGATCTTGGCTGATTTTAAGATTTTAGCTATCCAAAATCCTTAATTCAAGATCTTGGCTTATTTCAAGATTTTAGCTTTCCAAAATCCTGAATTCAAGATCGTGGCTCATTTCAAGATCTTAGCTGTCCAAAATCCTGAATTCAAGATTTTGGGCAATTTTAAGATTTTCGCTTTCCAAACTCCTGAGTTCAAGATCTTGGCTGATTTCAAGATTTTAGCTTTCCAAAATAATGAATTGAAAATCTTGGCTGATTCCAAGATTTTGTCTTTCCAAAATCCTGAATTCAAGATTTTGGCCGATTTCAAGATTTTAGGTTTGTAAAATCCTGAATTCAAGATCTTGGCTGATTTCAATATTTTAGCTTTCCGAAATCCATAATTGAACATTTTGTTCAATTTAAAGATTTTAGCTTTCCACACTCTTAAATTCAAGATTTTGGCCGATTTTAAGACTTTACGTTTCCAAAATCCTGAATTCAAGATTTCGGTCGATTTCAAGATTTTAGCTGACCAAAATCCTGAATTCAACATTTTGGCCGATTTTATGATTTTAGCTTTCCAAGATCCTCAATTCAAGATTTTGGCCGATTTCAAAATTTTAGCTTTTCAAAATCATGAATTGAAGATTTTGGTGGATTTCAAGATTTTAGCTGTCCAAAATCCTGAATTAAAGATTTTGGCCGATTTCAAAATTTTACCTTTCCAAAATCATGAATTCAAGATTTTGGTCGATTGGAAGATTTTAGCTATCCATAATCCTGAATTCAACATTTTGGCCGATTTCAAAATTTTAGCTTTCCAAAATCATGAATTCAAGATTTTGGCCTTTTTGAAGATTTTCGCTTTCCAAAATCCTGTATTCAAGATCTTGGCTGATTCCAAGATTTTAGCTTTCCAAAATCCTGAATTCAAGATTTTGGCCGATTTCAAGATTTTAGCTTTCCAAAATCCTCAATTGAACATTTTGGCCAATTTAAAGATTTCAGCTTTCCAAACTTCTAAATTCAAGATTTTGGCCGATTTTAAGATTTTAGGTTTCCAAAATCCTGAATTCAAGATTTTGTTCAAAGATTTTAGGCCAAAATCCTTTCAACATTTTGGATTTTATGATTTTAGCTTTCCAAAATTCAAGATTTTGACCGATTTCAAATTTTTAGCTTTCCAAAATCCTGGTTCAAGATTTTCCGATTTTTAGCTTTCCAAAATCCTGAATTCAAGATTTTGGCCGATTTCAAGATTTTATCTTTCCAAAATCCTGAATTCAAGATTTTGGTCGATTTCAAAATTTTAGCTTTCCAAAATCCTGAATTCAACATTTTGGCCGATTTCAAGATTTTAGCTTTCCAAAATCCTGAATTCAAGATCTTGGCTGATTTTAAGATTTTAGCTTTCCAAAATGTTCCTTTTCAATTTTAGCTTTCAAAATCCTGAATTCAAGATTTTTTGGCTGATTTTAAGATTTTAGCTTTCCAAAATCCTGAATTCAAGATTTTGCCGATTTCAAGATTTTAGCTTTCCAAAATCCTGAATTCAAGATTTTTGGCTGATTTTAAGATTTTAGCTTTCCAAAAAGATCCTGATTTCAAGATCTTAGCTGTTTCCGACATCCTGAATTCAAGATTTTAGCCGATTTGCAAATTTTAGCTTTCGAAGATCCTGAATTTAAGATTTTGGCCAATTTTAAGATTTTCGCTTTCCAAAATCCTGAGTTCAAGATCTTGTCTGATTTCAAGATTTTAGGTTTCCAAAATCCTGAATTCAAGATCTTGCCTGAATTCAAGATTTTGGCCGATTTCAAGATTTTAGGTTTCTAATATTCTGAATTCAAGATTTTGGCCAATTTCAAGACTTTAGCTTTCTAAAATCTGAATTCAAGATCTTGGCTGATTTTAAGATCTTAGCTTTCCAAAATCCTGAATTCAACGTTTTGGTCCAATTTAAAGATTTTTGCTTTCCAAAATCCTAAATTCAACATTTTGGCCGATTTTAAGATTTTAGGTTTCCAAAATCCTGAATTCAAGATTTTGGTCGATTTCAAAATTTTAGCTTTCCAAAATCCTGAATTCAACATTTTGGCCGATTTTATGATTTTAGCTTTCCAAAATCCTGAATTAAAGATTTTGCCGATTTCAAATTTTTACTTTCCAAAATCCTTTCAAGATCTTGGCTGATTTCAAGATTTTAGCTTTCCAAAATCCTGAATTCGAGTTTTTTGCCGATTTCAAGATTTTAGCTTTCCAAAATCCTGAATTCAAGATCTTGGTCGATTTGAAAATTTTAGGTTTCCAAGATCCTGAATTCAAGATTTTGGACGATTTCAAGACTTTAGCTTTCCTTAATCCTGAATTCGAGGTTTTGGCCAATTTAAAGATTTTACCTTTCCAAAATCCTGAGCTCAAGATCGTGGCCTATTTCAAGATTTTAGCTTTCCAAAATCTTGAATTCAAGTTCTTGGCTGATTTCAAGATTTTAGCTTTGCAAAATCCTGAATTCAAGATTTTTGCCGATTTCAAGATTTTAGCCTTCCTAAATCGTGAACTCAAGCTTTAAGCCAATTTAAAGATTTTAGCTTTCCAAAATTTTGAATTCAAGATTTTGGCCAATTTTAAGATTGTAGCTTTTCAAAATCCTTAGTTCAAGATCTTGGCGGATTTTAAGATTTTAGCTTTTCAAAATCCTGAGGTCAAGATTTTGTCCCATTTGAAGATTTTAGATTTTTAAAATCCTGACTTCAAGATTTTGAATGATTTTATGATTTTAGCTTTCCAAGATCCTGAATTCAATATTCTCGCCGATTTCAAGATTTTAGCAGTCAGAAATGCTGAATTCAAGATTTTGTGCAATTTAAAGATTTTACCTGTCCAACATCCTGAATTCAAGACCTTGGGCGATTTGAAAATCTTAGCTTTCTAAGATCCTGAATTGAAGATTTTGGCCGATTTCAAATTTTTAGCTTTCCTAAATCCTGAAAGCAAGATTTTGGCCGATTTCAAGATTTTAGCTTTCGAAGATCCTGAATGTAAGATTTTGGCCGATTTCAAGCTTTTACCTTTCCAACATCCTAATTTCAAGATCTTGGCTGATTTCAAGATTTTAGCTTTCCGAAATCCTGAAATCAAGATTTTGCCCGATTTCAAGATTTTAGCTTTCGAAAATCCTGAATTCAACATTTTGGCCGATTTTATGATTTTAGCTTTCCAAGATCCTCAATTGAAGATTTTGACCGATTTCAAAATTTTAGCTTTCCAAGATAGTGTATTCAAGATTTTGGCCAATTTTAAGATTTTCGCTTTCCAAAATCCTGAGTTCAAGATCTTGGCTGATTTCAAGATTTTAGCTTTCCAAAATCCTGAATTCAAGATCTTGGCTGCTTTCAAGATTTTAGCTTTCAAAAATCCTGAATTCAAGATTTTGGCCGATTTCAAGATTTTAGGTTTTTAAAATTCTGAATTCAAGATCTTGGCTGATTTCAAGATTTTAGCTTTCCAAAATCCTGAATTCAAGATTTTGGCCGATTTCAAGATTTTAGCCTTCCTATGTCCTGTATTCAAGATTTTGGCCAATGTCAAGACTTTAGCTTTCTAAAATCCTGAATTCAAGATCTCGGCTGATTTCAAGATCTTAGCTTTCCAAAATCCTGAATTGAACCTTTCGGCCAATTTAAAGATTTTTGCTTTTCAAAATCCTAAATTCAAGAATTTGGCCGATTTTAAGATTGTAGGTTTCCAAAATCCTGAATTCAAGATTTTGGTCGATTTCAACATTTTAGCTTTCCAAAATCCTGAGTTCAACATTTTGGCCGATTTTATGATTTTAGCTTTCCAAAATCCTGAATTCAAGATTTTGGGCGATTTGAAAATCTTAGCTTTCTAAGAACCTGAATTCAAGATTTTGGCCGATTTCAAATTTTTAGCTTTCCTAAATCGTGAAAGCAAAATTTTGGCCGATTTCAAGATTTTAGCTTTCGAAGATCCTGAATGTAAGATTTTGGCCGATTTCAAGATTTTAGCTTTCCAAAATCCTGAATTCAAGATTTTGCCCGATTTCAAGATTTTAGCTTTCGAGAATCCTGAATTTAAGATCTTGGCGTATCTCAAGATTTTAGTCTTTCAGAATCCTGAAATCAAGATTTTGGGCGATATCAAGATTTTAGCTTTCCAAAATCCTGAATTCAACATTTTGGCCGATTTCATGATTTTAGCTTTCCAAGATACTAACTTGAAGATTTTGGCCGATTTTAAGATTTTAGCTTTCCAAAATCCTCAATTCAAGATTTTGGTTGATTTCAAGATGTTAGCTGTCCAAAATCCTCAATTCAAGATTTTGTCCAATTTTAAGATTTTAGCTCTCCAAAATCCTGAATTCAAGATCTTGGCCGATTTCAAGATTTTAGCTTTCCAAAATCCTGAATTCAAGACCTTGGCTGATTTCAAGATTTTTGCTTTCCAAAATCCTGAATACAAGATTTTGGCCGATTTTAAGATTTCAGCTTTGCTATGTCCTGAATTCAAGATCTTTGCTGATTTCAAGATTTTAGCTTTCCAGAATCCTGAATTCAAGATTTTGGCCAATTTCGAGATTTTAGCTGTCCAAAATCCTGAATTCACGATTTTGGCCGATTTTAAGTTTTTAGCTTTCCAAGATCCTGAATGTAAGATTTTGGCCGATTTTAAGTTTTTAGCTTTCCAAGATGCTGAATGTAACATTTTGGCCGATTTTAAGATTTTAGCTTTCCAAAATACTGAATTCAAGATTTTGTTCGATTTCAAGATTTTAGCGTTCGAAAATCCTGAATTCAAGATCTTGGCCTATTTCAAGATTTTAGTTTTCCAGAATCCTGAATTCAAGAATTTGGGCGATATGAAGATTTTAGCTTTCCAAAATCGTGATTTCAAGATTTTGTCCAATTTCAAGATTTTAGCTTTCCAAGATCCTTCATTCAAGATTTTTACCCATTTTAAGATTTTAGCTTTCCAAAATCCTGAGTTCAACATCTTGGCCGTTTTCATGATTTTAGCTTTCCTAAATCCTGAAAGCAAGATTTTGGCCGATTTCAAGATTTTAGCTTTTGAAGATCCTGAATGTAAGATTTTGGCCGATTTCAAGATATTAGCTTTCCAAAATCCTGAAATCAAGATTTTGCCCAATTTTAAGATTGTAGCTTTCCAAAATCCTGAGTTCAAGATCTTGGCTGATTTTAAGATTTTAGCTTTCCAAAATCCTGAGGTCAAGATTTTGTCCCATTTGAAGATTTTTGATTTTTAAAATCCTGACTTCAAGATTTTGAATGATTTCATGATTTTAGCTTTCCAAGATCCTGAATTCAATATTCTCGCCGATTTCAAGATTTTAGCATTCAGAAATGCTGAATTCCAGATTTTGTCCAATTTCAAGATTTTACCTGTCCAACATCCTGAATTCAAGACCTTGGCCGATTTGAAAATCTTAGCTTTCTAAGATCCCGAAATCAAGATTTTGTCCGATTTTAAATTTTTAGCTTTCCTAAATCCTGAAAGCAAGATTTTGGCCGATTTCAAGATTTTAGCTTTCGAAGATCCTGAATGTAAGATTTTGGCCGATTTCAAGATTTTAGCTTTCCAAAATCCTGAAATCAAGATTTTGCCCGATTTCAAGATTTTAGCTTTCCAAAATCCTGAATTCAAGATTTTGCCCGATTTTAAGATTTTAGCTTTCGAAAATCCTGAATTCAAGATCTTGGCGGATCTCAAGATTTTAGTTCTTCAGAATTCTGAAATCAAGATTTTGGGCGATATCAAGATTTTAGCTTTCCAAACTCCTGAATTCAAGATCTTGGCCGATTTCATGATTTTAGCTTTCCTAAATCCTGAAAGCAAGATCTTGGCTGATTTCAAGATTTTAGCTTTCCAAAATCCTGAATTCGAGGTTTTGGCCAATTTAAAGATTTTACCTTTCCAAAATCCTGAGTTCAAGATCGTGGCTGATTTCAAGATTTTAGCTTTCCAAAATCCTGAATTCAAGTTCTTGGCTGATTTTAAGATTTTAGGTCCGTGCACACTTCGGCCAATCTATTTTTCCATTTTTCCAACAAAAACGGAAAAAGGAAATATTACTTATCCTTATCATATTTACATATTTTAAAGTACGGACAAAAATAGAAAAAAAGAAAATGGTCAGGAAAATTGATCATTTTTTCATTTTTCTAATTTTGAAGTCCGCTTCAAAAATACAAAAAATACTATAAACGGCTAAAAGCGATATTTTGCTATTTTTATTTTCTTGATATTGTTAGAAAAGTGAGAAAAATATAATAATCTCCGAGTCCTAGATCATTTTTCGATTTTTCCGTTTTTCCTAAAAAATCGAAAAACAGAAAAATGAAAAAATGATATTTATTCGAACCATTTTTTCATTTTTTCCATTTTGTTCAAAAAATGAAAAAATAGAAAAATGGCATACCTATCGCCTAATTTCCATAATTCCATTTTAACAAGAAAAATGAAAAAATGACAAGTGTTGCGAATAATTTTTCCATTTTTTCAATAAATAGAAAACAAACAAACAAACAAAACCGGACAATTTTTTATCTTTTGTTTTAATGAAAAATAGCAAAAAAAAAAAAGATAAATCATGAACATTTACCAAAAAAGAAAAGAAAGACCTAATCCACTTTAGACTCACTAGTTTTGTTAGACGATTTACACAGGGTCGATGGAGACGTGGGATGGGGAGGGCGGGTGGGGGCCCTTTAGTTCTCGGAATGCGAACGTAGTTTCATTGACTATTGGATTTGATTAGCTGATTCCTTTACCTCATTACTTAGGACTCACTCTGTGACCTGTTCTAACACTGTGTCACCATAAAGTGTTCCTGTTGCATTTAAACTGTGGAACGTTACGCCATACTTGCTCTTTGCTCTCCTCTTTCAAGGGCTGAGTTGCTTAAAAGGTGGATAACGCTATCCGCTGGATAAATAACTATCCAGTGGATAAGGCAATTGGTTTCCCTAAAATACATGAAAAATTATCGGGCCGCTGGATAGTAATTTATCCGGTGGATCGTCGCTATCCAACGTTTAAACAAATGTATGAGCAAATGTATGGACCAGAGCATTAAGATGTTCTTTCCAGCGAGTGTATACTAGGCGCCTCGTTATTTTTCTCCTCCATAATAATAATTCAATATACTTTACACCCGTTCTGCGGCAAGATCTGTTATTTCGGCAGGCTAAGCAGTCTACTTTTGAGCAACTATTTCATTTAAAAGCGTCTGACCTCTTCACTGGCGTGCTCTTTATTTATTTTGTGCATGTGACTGTCCAACGACCTTCTTGTTTTCCCCTTAATCTCTCTCACGAACCGCTTTTTTTGTGCTGGGACCATAGTGTTGCTGGCATGAAAACCGTTGAGTTACCCCCCTCCTTTAACCGTACCAATTATCACGCCTCCTCCTCCTCCTCCCTCGTACCCTTTCTAATATTCTTCATTTCCACGACCGGTACGGTACGGTTTTCCCGCCGCTTTCATCCACAGTCGACTCCCGACAACTCAAACCTTCAGGGAAATCGAGATCAAAAGTGAATGGAGCTACGTCCGCATCTCGAAAACTAAGCCGCCCCCCTCCCCAAATTCCCCCACATCTCCGCCGACCCTGTGCAAATCTTCTAACCAAATTAGTGAGTCGATACTGGATACGAATTAGGTTTTTCCTTTCTTCACCGTTAAAATATTCATAACGTCTCACTTTTCTGCGCTATTTTTCACTAAAATAAGAAATGAAAAATTGTCTGAAAGGGTGTATCGTTAAAGTTTTTCTATTTATCCAAAAAAAAAAGGAAAAATAGAAAATTGCTCGCAACACTTGTCATATTTTCATTTTTCTTGTTAAAATGGAATTATGGAAAATTAGGCGATAGGTATGCTATTTTAGTATTTTTTCATTTTTTGAACAAAATGGAAAAAATGAAAAAATGGTGCGAATAAATATGATTTTTTCATTTTTCCGTTTTTCTATGTTTTGCGAAAAACGGAAAAATAGAAAAACGAGTTAAGAATCGGACATTATTTCATTTTTCTCATTCTCTAACAGTAGCAAGAAAATAGAGAATAGCAAAATATCGCTTTTAGCCGTTTACAGTATTTTTGGAATTTTTGAAGCGGACTTCAAAATTAGAAAAATGAAAAAATGATCAATTTTCCTGACCATTTTCTTTTTTTCTATTTTTTTCTGTACTTTAAAATATGTAAATATGATAAGGATAAGTGATATTTCCTTTTTCTGTTTTTGTTGGAAAAATGAAAAATTAGATTGGCCGAAGTGTGCACGGACCATTTTAGCTTTGCAAAATCCTGAATTCAAGATTTTGGCCGATTTCAAGATGTTAGCCTTCCTAAATCGTGAACTCAAGCTTTAAGCCAATTTAAAGATTTTAGCCTTCCAAAATTTTGAATTCAAGATTTTGGCCAACTTTAAGATTGTAGCTTTCCAAAATCCTTAGTTCAAGATCTTGGCGGATTTTAAGATTTTAGCTTTCCAAAATCCTGAGGTCAAGATTTTGTCCCATTTGAAGATTTCAGATTTTTAAAATCCTGACTACAAGATTTTCAATGATTTCATGATTTTAGTTTTCCAAGATCCTGAATTCAATATTCTCGCCGATTTCAAGATTTTACCTGTCCAACATCATGAATTCAAGACCTTGGCCGATTTGAAAATCTTAGCTTTCTAAGATCCTGAATTCAAGATTTTGGCCGATTTCAAATTTTTAGCTTTCCTAAATCCTGAAAGCAAGATTTTGGCCGATCTCAATATTTTAGCTTTCGAAGATCCTGAATGTAAGATTTTGGCCGATTTCAAGATTTTAGCTTTCCAAAATCCTGAATTCAAGATTTTGCCCGATTTCAAGATTTTAGCTTTCGAAAATCCTGAATTCAAGATCTTGGCGTATCTCAAGATTTTAGTCTTTCAGAATCCTGAAATCAAGATTTTGGGCGATATCAAGATTTTAGCTTTCCAAAATCCTGAATTCAACATTTTGGCCGATTTCATGATTTTAGCTTTCCAAGATACTAACTTGAAGATTTTGGCCGATTTTAAGATTTTAGCTTTCCAAAATCCTCAATTCAAGACTTTGGTTGATTTCAAGATGTTAGCTGTCCAAAATCCTCAATTCAAGATTTTGTCCAATTTTAAGATTTTAGCTCTCCAAAATCCTGAATTCAAGATCTTGGCCGATTTCAAGATTTTAGCTTTCCAAAATCCTGAATTCAAGACCTTGGCTGATTTCAAGATTTTTGCTTTCCAAAATCCTGAATACAAGATTTTGGCCGATTTTAAGATTTCAGCTTTGCTATGTCCTGAATTCAAGATCTTTGCTGATTTCAAGATTTTAGCTTTCCAAAATCCTGAATTCAAGATTTTGGCCAATTTCGAGATTTTAGCTGTCCAAAATCCTGAATTCACGATTTTGGCCGATTTGAAAATTTTAGCCTTTCTGATTCCTGAAATCAAGATTTTGCTCGATTTCAAGATTTTAACGTTGCACAATCCTGAATTCAAGATTTTGGCCGATTTTAACTTTTTAGCTTTCCAAGATCCTGAATGTAAGATTTTGGCCGATTTTAAGTTTTTAGCTTTCCAAGATGCTGAATGTAACATTTTGGCCGATTTTAAGATTTTAGCTTTCCAAAATACTGAATTCAAGATTTTGTTCGATTTCAAGATTTTAGCGTTCGAAAATCCTGAATTCAAGATCTTGGCCTATTTCAAGATTTTAGTTTTCCAGAATCCTGAATTCAAGAATTTGGGCGATATGAAGATTTTAGCTTTCCAAAATCGTGATTTCAAGATTTTGTCCAATTTCAAGATTTTAGCTTTCCAAGATCCTTCATTCAAGATTTTTGCCCATTTTAAGATTTTAGCTTTCCAAAATCCTGAGTTCAACATCTTGGCCGTTTTCATGATTTTAGCTTTCCTAAATCCTGAAAGCAAGATTTTGGCCGATTTCAAGATTTTAGCTT